TATTTAAAGAATACTTGGTGATTAAAGCTTGGAAAGACTTTGTTTTTCAAAGAATACTTGAGTAGTTTGCTTGAAGCGAAAAATCAAAGCAAGCTTTGGATTGAACTAGAAGTGGCTTGGGAAAGAATACTTGTATCTTTGAAAAAATAGTGGAACATGATCAAGAATTATAGATTATCTCAGTGGTTGAGATGAACCAGTATGCAAAAATTGTGACACCCTTACCACCCCAACACATATATAAATAAATCTTGTAAATAAACTAAAGAATAAAATATTCAACGTTGGTAAAAAGGTTCACATAAAACCTTCATAAATAACAAAAATAATTAAAAAATGAAATTTATAAAGTAAAACTTGAGAGTTTACAAATTTCTTTCAAAAGAGAAGTTATAACTCTAAATACATATAAAAATTTATCCTAGAATTCTCTGCCCCGATGTCACAATATCAGAGCACACCCACAACTCAACGGTTGACATTCTAGATGCCACTCAAAGCTGGATCTTCCTCACCTAAAACATCCATAAATTGTACGGTGAGAAAATAAAAAATTTAAATATAAAGCACACAAGGAAATCCACAACATCATCTCATCATAATAACTTGGAATTTTATTTACAAGCATTTCTATAGATATATCATCATTCTATCAATCATTCATCTTAACATCTCAATTCACAATTACACCAATCCATCACAATCCACACAAATCTTACAATTAACATTATGCCAAGGCCACGCCACATCTGACACAAGTGATACGAGTTAATTTCCTCACTCATCCCACACCATGCCAAGGGCACGCTCGTCCTCGTAGCATCACTTACCCAAGGTTCGTCTCATCCTTGGTCATTAGTGTGAGGAACCACAGTCACATTACAATCCACACAAGTCTAGCAATTAACCCTATGCTAGGGCTGCCATATTTGACATATGTGATGCGTGTTAATTGTCTCACTCATCCCACACTATGCAAGGGTCACGCTCGTCCTTGAAGCATCACTACTCAAGGTTCTTCTCATCCCTGGTCATTAGTGTGAGGTACCACAATCACAATCATAATCATATCCACACAACATCTCATCTCATATCTTAATTCCATATTACATACACAATTCCATATCACATACACAACAGATAAGTCCAACAAAAATAAGGGTTTACACACCCCTCAAGCAATTCACATCTATATCATCAATTTTTATCAAGTAATATAACAATAACATTCATAAATTAATATAATAATTAATGGAATTACCAATTTAATATAATCTTAACATAAATGATAAAACCCCTAATTATTCCAAAACCTAACTCACATACACTTTTCTACAATTTCGTTCTCTCTCCCAAATCATCATTCTTACAAATTAAATATATATTTCTAATCCTCAACACATACAGAATCTAATGGTATCATTAATTCCTCAAACAGAAATATTCTAATTTTTCCAAAACCTAACTTACAGGCACTTTTCTATAATTTCGTTCTCTCTCCTAGAGCATCTTTTTTACAAATTAATCATATATTCGTAGTCCTAAGTGCATACAAAATCACATAAGACCAATAATTCTCCAAATAGAAATAATTATAAAATTACTCATAATCCTAAGGGACTCTTCCTCTACCCAATTCCATCATGTAACTCTACATATAAATAATCCCCTTTTCTCACGTACCTTGACATGTAGAAGCTGAATCTACACAAGATCTGGTTGGTCTCCCTTCCTGGGTTCCCCTCGGTCTGAAGCACAAAGTAGAGGGAAAGAAGAGAGAGCAGAAGAAAAGAAATCAGAAAATGAAAGGTGTGCTTTTTGGGAGTGGCAGAGAGCTCAATTTATAGGCATCAAGCTTTGCCGGAACGACCCGTTCCAAATCCAGAACGGCCCGTTCTTGACCCTTAAATCACGACAAAAAATCACATCCAGAACGGCCTATTCTCAGAACAGAACAGCCCGTTCTGGGGTGCATTTAAAACTCACAACGGTCATATTTTGGAACGGCCCGTTCTCAACTAAGAATCGTAGGCAAATTTAATGGTTTGGAACGGCCCGTTCCAAATCCGGAACGGCCTATTCCGATCTACCAAAAGTAGGTATATTTAGTAATTTGGAATGGCCCGTTCCGAGCTACTAAATCACCTTAATTGGGCTATTGGCCCCAGTGAAAATTGGGTTGTTACAATTCTCCCCTCCATTATGAAATTTCGTCCCCAAATTTTTGCAATGGTAAACTCCTCGCATGATGTGATAATGATGATGAGATAAAATGATGAAATATGATGATGAAATGTGATGATGAAATGTGATGATGAGATGTGATGATAATAATGTGATATGAGAATGCATAGAGTCTTGATTAACATGCATCATGTGCATAAATGTTTTTAAGGGTACGATATGGAATACACCGCCCGAGAAGGACCCCTAGTATAAAAGCTTTGGGGATTAGTCCTTGGGGATAACTCGGTTTGAAAGTCTCAGTCTCGCCCATTGTGTGCATGGAATGTATCTTGCGCGATTTAGCTATCCCGACGAGACTCTGGTAGTATGTCCTTCTAGTGAGAGTGCGCAGAGGGTGTGACACTACAACAAAAAAGGATTTTAGCGACCACAAAAATCAGTCGCTAAATTACTTAAATCGGTCGCTATTTACTTTCACGACCGAATTAGCGACCGATTTGAAGTAGTTTCAAAAACCCTGGTCGCAAAGTTGTTTAGCGACCGATTTAACAACCTTTTTTTCGGTCACTAATTGGTCACTACAATTATGATCGCCATAGTATATGAGGACCAAATTAGCGACCGAAAAAAAGGTTGTTAAATCGGTCACTAAAATGTGTTATTTATTTTTAAAATTTTAAATAATGATTTTCTTTTCCGTCGCTAAGTCGGTCGCTAACAATTTTTAAAATAAAAAATTATTTTTAATTTCGGTCGCTAAATCGGTCGCTAAATTTTATTATTTTAAAAAAAATAATTTTCATTTCGGTCACTAAGTATTTTTTTTTAATTTTTTTTTAAATAATTTCTGATTCAGTCGCTAAATCGATCGCTAAATTTTATTATTTTTAAAAATAATTTTCAATTCAGTTGCTAAATCGGTCGCTAAATCTGTAACTTGACAAACCAAGACTTATCAATATTGTTTTTGATGCAGTAAAGCACCATCTTTTTATATGTTAAAATATTGTGGTTTGTATACTTGTCCTTTTTATTTTTCTTTTAAATTCAAGAGTGCATCTTGCATACTAGAGGATTATTTCTTTTAATGGTTTGCAATTTAGTTTACGTTTATCTTTGTTTGGAGTAAAATATGGATCAATTTTTTTTGTAGCAAAGGAACTTGTTTTATTTTTTATTTTGGTATGAGTGTTATTGTTTCATTGTTAAACAGGTTCAAAATGAAAATGAAAATAAAATATATAGTGTTTAAGGTATAAAATTAGCGATCATGTCTAAAAATAAAGTAAGCCTAGCATATCTATTGGTTAGTGGGATTGGCCCCCAATCCTGTGTTTGTTGTATTTTTTTGTATGCTCGTGTATAAGGGGTTTTCCCCAATTGTATCTGTTTCGCCTATAGTTTTCTTATATGTAATTAATTTTATTATTTTAAATGTTTATTGTATGAATTAGAGTGCTTTGTGGGTTCTTGTGGGAACCCTATGAGAAACAGGAAAAATATGAATGTTTTCTATTTTGCCTTCTGATTGTTCTGATGTATTCCTTGTTGAATGAGATGAATGAATGTGTTTAATTTCGCAAATAGATGAGTTTTAATATGGATTAAAGTGTTATGTGAGAATTGTGCATATAAGGTGATAATGTGATAATGATGATGAGATAAAATGATGAAATATGATGATGAAATGTGATGATGAAATGTGATGATGAGATGTGATGATAATAATGTGATATGAGAATGCATAGAGTCTTGATTAACATGCATCATGTGCATAAATGTTTTTAAGGGTACGATATGGAATACACCGCCCGAGAAGGACCCCTAGTATAAAAGCTTTGGGGATTAGTCCTTGGGGATAACTCGGTTTGAAAGTCTCAGTCTCGCCCATTGTGTGCATGGAATGTATCTTGCGCGATTTAGCTATCCCGACGAGACTCTGGTAGTATGTCCTTCTAGTGAGAGTGCGCAGAGGGTGTGACACTACAACAAAAAAGGATTTTAGCGACCACAAAAATCAGTCGCTAAATTACTTAAATCGGTCGCTATTTACTTTCACGACCGAATTAGCGACCGATTTGAAGTAGTTTCAAAAACCCTGGTCGCAAAGTTGTTTAGCGACCGATTTAACAACCTTTTTTTCGGTCACTAATTGGTCACTACAATTATGATCGCCATAGTATATGAGGACCAAATTAGCGACCGAAAAAAAGGTTGTTAAATCGGTCACTAAAATGTGTTATTTATTTTTAAAATTTTAAATAATGATTTTCTTTTCCGTCGCTAAGTCGGTCGCTAACAATTTTTAAAATAAAAAATTATTTTTAATTTCGGTCGCTAAATCGGTCGCTAAATTTTATTATTTTAAAAAAAATAATTTTCATTTCGGTCACTAAGTATTTTTTTTTAATTTTTTTTTAAATAATTTCTGATTCAGTCGCTAAATCGATCGCTAAATTTTATTATTTTTAAAAATAATTTTCAATTCAGTTGCTAAATCGGTCGCTAAATTTTATTATAATAAAAATTAATTTTTTTTTCAGTCGCTAAATCAGTCGTTAAACATAATTTTATTTTTGAAAAAAAAAACTGATTTTTTTTTGTTACTAGGCTTACTTTATTTTTAGACATGATCGCTAATTTTATACCTTAAACACTATATATTTTATTTTTATTTTCATTTTGAACCTGTTTAACGATGAAACAATAACACTCGTACCAAAATAAAAAATAAAACAAGTTCCTTTGCTACAAAAAAAATTGATCCATATTTTACTCCAAACAAAGATAAACGTAAACTAAATTGCAAACCATTAAAAGAAATAATCCTCTAGTATGCAAGATGCACTCTTGAATTTAAAAGAAAAATAAAAAGGACAAGTATACAAACCACAATATTTTAACATATAAAAAGATGGTGCTTTACTACATCAAAAACAATATTGATAAGTCTTGGTTTGTCAAGTTACAAAGTAGACCAACACAACCCAGCAGCTCAAATTGTTGCTCCTCTAATGCCATAATTCTTCTAATATAGACCCAGCAAAACGCAAAAACATATATACAAAGTAGTGTAGTTAAGAAGACAAACATGAAGAAGAACCGGTAGTTACGCTGCATAACAATCATGCAAGCAATTAGGATATACATACATATTCAAGAATGACACGTAGCAAATGATAACTGAAAAGTAATCAGAACAAAAGAAATAATGAAAATGAAGAATTCATCAAGAATGAACAAAAATTCAAGCTGCAAACTGAAAAGAAAACTAAGCCCCCTATATTAAGGAATCAACTTTATAGCTAGATTATATGATGCATTACCAACTATAATAACTTAAAAGCAAAATATAACACTTAAAACTAAAAAAAGCTGGACTGAATTTATTTATGTAAATCAAGAACTGCATTATTTGTAAAGTCGGCATTTGGTCCACTATTATTGCTTAATTAAAGCATTAAATTTACCCCTCTTCTGACCAACCTGGTAAATTTTGTTTGAGGGAACAAGACCAACATGAACACAAAGGGGGTGAGGAAATACGGCAAGGGGAGGAGGAAATACGGCAACTGGAGGAGAAGTAATGAGCCTTTTGTGAGCCCCTATATGATACATTATAATAGTTGTTAGAATATTAGGATTCTTATTCTTTTAGGAGACTTATTGTTTAGTAGTCTTATTTAGCTGGGCTAGTAATAAAATTCACAACAGTACTATTTGGCCTATAATATTATTATTATAATTAATTTTAAATTTTATTTTGCAAGAATTTAATTATAGTAAGAAATTAATACTGCTTTTTTACAAATTATTGAAATTTAAAATTGTAGTAAGAAATTTCAATTCTAAGCCAAAAGTAAAATAAACAAGATATTTGAAATTAGAAAACCCAAATCAAACAGTAAGCTTTATTACTTGCTCAATTTCATGCCCCAATTAATGAAGAGATTTTTAAATTCTTCTACAAAAAATGCTTTCCCATTTTCTGACCAGCCAATTGATTAATCAACACATGATATTTGAAAGTTGACAAGTTGAATCAGGAAAAAAAAAACTACCTCTTAGTTGTTTGCTTAATGGAAATACACTCTTACTATTCTGCTTATATGATATGATACCACTAAATACCAGAAAAAAGCATGTTACAAAATCTTGAACCAACCAAGAAAAATGCAGGAAATGTTGATCTAGAAATGAAGATTAGAGAGAACTACCCATTTCTTGTTCATTCAAACCAAGAAGTATTTTTTAAATGCACAGAGTAGGTACCTCCAAAATATTTAATCTGAATATAATAATGAACATATGACAGATTAAGCCATAATAAACATGGGTTGCAACCACACACAAAAATTGCAGTAAAAAGGAAATATAAGATTAATGCCTATTCCAAATTGAATGACTCAATACCAACTATTGTCTCAGCATTATTAATTATTTCTACATATTGTCATTGTGAAAATGGAATTGAGTTAATGGTCAAGCTTACTCACTGCATATTTACATGCTCGGCAAAGAGATTCCATTGTTCTCATGTCCCAAGCACGACTGGCACCAAGATCAGTATAAACATGTTTTAGATAAACATGCTTCAAAAAATAAAAGAAATGATAGACGTCACATAAGCAATTAAAGACTACTTACATATCAAAAATAATCTTAAAATTTTCTGGCAGTCTGAAATCAGAACAAAATCATATTGAATAATGATTGATGTATCAGATAATAAAAACTTTAAAAATTGCCAACTTGCCTCCTCAGGCAAGAGCCCTTTAGGCCTGAGGCACTTCTATTTAAAAGAATGAGGACAGTGATGATTGAATTCTCGACCACATGGTCATAGGGACTCTGATGTTATGTCAAGAATCAACTATCACCAAAAGGCTTAAATTGATGGTTGAAGGCTTACAAAAGGCTTTATATCAAACAAGAATCATATAAAATCTAAAGTTAAAATTAATAATTTGATCCATCAAATATTCTGTCTCAGTTAACAGGCCACAACAAAAATAATGGAAATAAATTATTTCCATTATGAATCAAATAAACACACCATAGACAAGAGTAGTATGAAATGAAACATTCAAACAAAAGTGGCATGATGGAGTGCTCACCCATCAATTGCAGCCACAAGAAGCCAACCAAACATCCCAACAATACCATTTCCATGCCCTTTCACTTTCCGCGCAGCTGCAATGGCCACAGCCTTGTTCTTGAAAACTTGATAGAAATAATAGTAAATGCCCTGATAACATTTAAAATAAGCATTTAGATAACAACCCCACAGAAAAGCACATCACGTATCACATTTTAGACATGTTTTGATAAACTTTTCATACACTTATATACCAGGGGAAAATAAAAAGATGAAATGAATAAAAATTTTCTCATTAAGTTATAATACAACTTATACATAAACTAATTTATAGAAATTCTCTCATTTAGCTTATACAAAAGTTGATTTTAACTAGTGGATAAATTAATTTTAACTTGTAAGATAAACTTAATCCATTTTAACTTGTATTTATTAAAAAAAATTATTCAAATAGGGCCTTAAGCCTTGAACTTTGCATCTTTATGAATGGTGAATACTGAATAATGGGCAAAGGCTATTATGGGGTATGGTTAAAAACTGAAACTTGATAACCTGAGAAGCAACAGTTCCAAGAAGAGAAGGCTTGAGCCCACTATAGAGTCCACCCCAACCCTCACTTCCGATGACCTGAAAAAGGGTCAAATATTCAATCAAGACACCATCTAAACAGAACCAACCAAAAGAGAAAAAATTGAGCAAAGTTAGAACCTGAAAGATCTGAAGAAGAGTGCCAGGAGTACCCAATCAACTTCACCAGATTAGGATGCCTAAGCTGCCCTAGAAAATTCACCTCCGTCTGCACCACAAAAACACACACACAAAAAAATTAACCAGACAAACTAAAATAAAAAAAGATGCAAAACGCAAAACGCAAAATGCAAGACGCAAAATGCACGAGCCACTCGCAATGTCCCTGCAGTCCCTCCTTGTTCAACACTTTGACCGCTACAGGTAGCCATTTGAGTCCCACTCTCACGTTCTCATCAATGTAGCCTTTGTAAACGGTTCGAACCCTCCCTCGCCGAGGATGTAGTCGCCGCGGAAGCTCTTCGTTATGGTCTCCAACTCGTACAGCGTGAACGCGATCACGTGCGTGTAGAGCAGTGTGAACGGTCGATTCGGCGTTTTCTAGGGTTTGGAGAAAGAGATTCGGTGCGGGAGGAGCATCCACCGGCTCCCCTGCGGTGTCAGCGGGCGAAGGCAGTGAGAGACACATTGAATTCAGCGACGAGGTTGAAAAATTAGGCACGATTTTGGTGAGGAAAGCGCGTTGAATTGGGAGAATGAGAAAGCGTTGGGGTTTTAAATTAGGGAAAAGAAATTGGTGTGGGAGTTAGGGTTTTGAAAGAAGGAAGAAGAAGAGGGAAGGTGAAAAGCGTTTAAAGAGAGAGAGAAAGGGTTTGAAATGAGAGGGAAAAAACTAAAATAGATTTTTAGTGTGCGGAGAGTTTTGGCACCAAAACTTATTTTGAGGAAAGTGACACAATCGCGCGCTCAAACCCTATCACCAAAACTGTTACTGTACTTATTTCCCTACCCCGCCCATTTCACAACTATTTATATTAAAATCATTCATTAATTAATTAATGACCATCACATTAAAATATTAAATGCATTTATTAAATTATATATCTATGGTAAATTGACTAGATTTATTTTGATGTAATATAAGATAGGATCCATTTTTTTAAACTTAAAAGCAAGTGTTTTTAAATAAATATTTAAAAATAACAATTCTTTAATTAGTAGATGAGAGTTATTTCTTTAAAAAAAACACAAAACTGTTTATTGAAAAAAAACAAACACATTAAAACCTAAAAAGGTACTTATTTTATTAAAATATTATAAGAATTTTTTTTAAAAAAATAGACCTATATTTTAAAAACTTAAATGCACTTTTATGTATAAAAAAATTATAATTGAAAAATTTTAGTCTTTCAAAATATTTCAATTATTATTAAACATGATATGTGAATGTTTTAACATATTTAACAATTATGGTGTGTTTGGATGAGAAATTTTACAAATTCAAAGAATTTCAAATTTTTGGTATTTGAATTATTTTGATTTCAATTTCTATCATTCTTAAAATATTTTGTTTGGATAAGTCAGTTCAAATTTCTTAAATTTTAAATTGTTTAGTTAGATATGATAATTTGATTTTATTATGATAAAATTAATTTTAAAAATATATTTTTATGTGAACATTTTTAAATTAAATTTTATAAAAATAAATATTAACTAATTTTTAAATCTTTAATAATTTTAAAAAATAATATTATATAAT